ACGTGATAAACTTGGGCGAATAAGTAAGGGTGTTCCAATATTGTAAGAACTGAATAAATATCTCTTTCAAACAGCTTGTTGATACTCAATGTAAGATGATACTCAATTAAAAACGCTTCATATTTGGAAATTTGTAACCAATGAAAAAACTATAGAACTTGGTAATCCTCATTTTAGTCTAAAAAGTGGGTTACCTAATCTGTTTGGATATAAAAAGTTCAAACTGTTTGATTGAAAGAAAATTAAACGGAGCATTTTAAAGAAGGTTGCTACGAATAAAATATAAAAAAATAGTTGTTACTAACTCTTCTTTAACTACATAATAACTGAGAAAAAGTATTAATCATGCAAGAATTTTATGAACCCTTCTTATATATTCTTATCTCCTAGCTTCTATCTGATCAACTTACATTTGTTTGCAATGATGGCAAGCTATAATTCTTGATACAGAATTTATTGTATTTCAATACAAAAATTCTTTAAAATGTTTATGTTATCGCAGAATAAAATCATCCGTTTAAGGATGAACGAACACTGTTTTTGTTCTTTTTGAGTCTCAGTACAATTATAATTAACATTTATATTCAATAACAATACTTGTTAATAGTAAAGTTTTGTTTTTTTATTAGTTTTTTTTTGTGCAGTTTTAAGTTTCATTGCGTATAAACGTGTTGAACCTATGATTTTACTGCAATCAAAGTTTTTTAAAGCATTTAATAATTTCTCTTTAATTTTAAGTAAAACTATATTCATACCAATATATTTGTATAAAATTGAGAAAACCTGAAGAATTAACAATATAGCTACATTCAATATCAATAGCGTTTTTAATTTCGAGATTTTGGTATTGAAAATTTTTAATCACACGGAATTATTAAGTTATAAAAAGTATACACTTATAAATATTTATTTTGGTTGAACAATTATGTTAATATTACATGATAATACTCACATAACTCTGTGTTGAAAAGACTTTTTTTTTTTTACAATAAATAGAAAACATTTTAATGACTGACAATATGAAATCTGCTTAGTTTTTGTATTTGAGATTAGAGCTTTAGTATTCGGAATAAAAATGCATACGAAAAAAATAACTTAAAATTTAATTTCTATTATTATAATTTTTTACATACTAATTTAAAAAAAAAAAAAAGGATTTAGATGTAATTGAATTAGATAGAATCGGGCGTATTCCGTAAGCCCATCAATAGTTAGCCAGCTCGTGCTCGATCGCACGAAAGATGATGCGCTGTGATAAATACAATAGTAGTTGATCAGTCGAGACTGACTCATTGAAGCAGTCAACACTGACAACTTTGTTTGGTAGTACGTTGAATGGACTACCAAGTTTCTCACCCAAGAATCACGTTGAACGCACTACAAGTTTCTCTCCCATGGAACGCAGCAAACATATGTTGAAGCGAGACGAGACATATGTTGTCTTTTTAAGTAGTATTTGACTGTTAAAACAAAAGAAAAAGTTATAGCGTCGCTTTTTTTAGACAAATAAGCCGCTTTGCTTCTACCTAGACCATATTCTCTGATGAAAACACCATACTCTCTGATGAAAAATGATTTCATCTGAGAATATAGTGGTTTCATCCAAAGTGCAGCTGTCAAAGAAGTCTAGAATGGTATCTCGTTCACAATCATATTCAATGGTAGCCTCATTGTATCTCAAAGTGATTAGGTAATCTTTGTTATTCTTTTTTTTTCTCTATGAGAGAAAAACTAATTGCTGGCAAATCAAACAATGATGCTTGTGAGTTAAAGCCTTCAAGATAAAGAAAAGAGTCAATATAGATTTTAAGATTCAACTCCAGATTTTAAAGACTATTCCTGAGTCAGTTGCTAAGGGTAAACAATCATTTAGTAAACTAAAAATTGTAATATACTCTCTCCGTTCGACCATGGGCCAAGATCTTATTGCTGATATCTGGTTGTTTTGATTGAAAAAGATTTAGCTAAAAAAGTGAGCTACGACGATGTCATTAATACTTGGGCAGCCACAAAAGCTTTTGAAGAAAGAAGATTTTGTTCATTGATTTTTTTTTTTTAGTTTTAAAACTAACATTTTGATTCATATGTCAGTTTCGACTAAAGAACTGTTTCTTAATTCACAGAACTAGTAGTAAAACAGAAACTTAATGTGATGTATCAAAAATAAATAATTGCTGCTTTCACAAAACTTTTAGTTTTGTAACTTCTTGGTTTAAAATCAAGGCGCCGTTCTCCATTTTTGACCCGGGCGCCATTGGAGCTCTCAAAGGCCCTGATATGCTCTATCAAATACAATCAATAAAAACTACAAAGAAAATAATTATAATAAAAACAAGCAATTAAAACGTTAAACCGTTAAATAGTAATAACAAAAACTGTCACAAAGAAAATAATAAAAACAACCCGTTAAAAAGATAAGATTAAGAAGAGCATAACAAAATAGAAAAATAGATTTTTAAATGTTCACGTCAAATAATTTAATAACTAATGACACCCAATTTGTAACGATGACACGATCATCCCTATTAAGAACTTTTTCGCCACTTCCCATCTTTTGTAGAACTTTAGCTTTGTTTATTTCAAGTAATTCTCGATGGTTTTTTGAATATGATATTCTGGAGTTATATTAAAATAATATAGTATTCTGGAGGATAAATATGGTTTGGGGATGTAACCAGTCAGATGTACCTTATTATGATTTGAAATGTTCAGTAGCATCCGAACTGGCTCTTTTTCCATTTATACTATTTTTCTGGTGGCATGAACATTTTAGTCGGTAGACGCCTGGGTTTGTATTTGAATAATTTTTTGTTTTATTATTACAGAATATATTTTTAAAATTTGGAGCTGATGTAAGTATGACTTTTATGTTGTTTTCTTTTTTAACTAACAATCCACGGTACACGGTAACTTTATAAATGGTTGGTTGTCATTTGCTTGATAGTTGGAATGTTTAAATCTTTTTTTATAAAGTCTCAAGCAAAATTAGTTAGATTGTTCTTGTCCTGTCCTTTTTCAACAAATATCTTTATTAGAAAACCATATTCTTGAGAGCGAATTCTTTGTGCATTGCATAAAATCCCGTAGAATACGCTAGTGATAAAATTAGGATTGATATTTAAATTAAGTTCTAGTTGAATTTTTTCGATGTACTTAAAATTTATAAGCTCTATGCGTTGTGCTTGTAATATTATTATCTAGAAAATTAAGTTATTTTTGGTGGCTTTTGAGTTCAGTAGTGTATTTTATTGCAGGATTTTGGTTCTTTAGGATATTTAGAAACATTTGTTGTTGTTTTATTGGATTGAAGCGTGCGTGACAACTGTCTAAATCTCGTGGAAGATTTTGGTTCAAGTGTATGAACAATGGCTATATTTTTGTTGTTGTTGTTGTTGTTGTTGTTCTTTTTATTACATTTTAAATAAGCATTTTGTTTCAATATTTAAAATAAAAATATAAATAATAAAAAATATATACATATAATGATCGTTATTAAATAAAAGAACGCGGGGACTCCTAAAAGACCATACTGTCTTGTCATCGAGTACTGCTAAGGTACTATTAAGGGTATTTCTTTATGAATTCTGTAGAAAACGCTTTCGCCATAACAACAACCAATAAAGAAAAAACCGATAGATTCTGAATTAGGTATTACTTGGATTTATTACATTCTTTATCCTTCTATTATATTCCTAAACTGCTATAGTTGTCCAGATGTTTCTACAATCCTCCTAAACACTCTAGAACGTTCAAAAAACTTCTAAAACTTTCAAGAAATTCTCAGAACTTTCTAGAACATTCATGAACGTTCCAGAAGTAGTATAAAAGCACAGGTGTTTTGAACCAAGATTCCAAATTGTGTTATTGCAGACTGAAAAAATAACAATTCATAGTTGAAGAGAAGTTATTTATTTGATATGGCATCATGTTGTTTAAGGTTGTTTGCATCTAGCTGATTCATTCTGGTACGCGTGATGGACAATTTATAAAGACAAGGGGACCAAGACAAATCTTGGGCACAGTATTTTACATGCAAATGTTGCAAGAAATTATTGTTTCCACTGAATATTTTTCCGCTCTTGTTTTTACGAACTATCCGCAGACGTAGCAGAATGAATCAGCTGGATGAAAACAACCTCAAACAGCATGATGCTTTACTGATGGTAAACTGAGCAAGAGTTTCTTGCTTAGATATGTTTTAATTCATTTTCATAACATTTCAATGCTTTAGATCTAGTTCATTTCAAGGAGTTGTAATTTACAAAGTTTTATCATAAGTCGTTCCATCTTGAATTCGTTTCATATTTTGAAGTTTCCTGTCCTCAAATTGCACATAATAATACATAATTTTTATATATTATTATGTGCTCTCAGAATACCCCTCAGATTGCTATCCGGGCATCCCTTTTTAAATTGCCCCAGTACCACACAACCCCAATCTGCCTGCTCCGACTCCTCGAGGCTCAAACAGTGGAACTTGGTTGATGATAGACACAAGTCATGGATTAAAGGAAGTGGCATCAAAGATTCTCCAACTTCTTCAGTTCTTAGGTGCATTATTGCACAAAATTTTATTATTGCACCAATTTTTCTAGATACTAATATATCATTATTGCACCAATTTTTCTGCCGGGAACTGCAATTTGAAGCGGGAGCCGCCGACAGAACTTCATAAAATACTAATGCCACCGCCACACATCAAGTTAGCAATTTGTTACTTATCTTGACATAAATTCAGCAGCATTTCCATACCTCGAAGATCTTTTTTCAAAGCTATCTGAGGTTAAGGTCATTGCTGGTGTATTCGTTGAACCACAAAGCAAGAAGGTCATAGACTGTAAGGATTCCGCAAAGCTTTTGAACAGTAAAGAGAGAGCGACTGGGAGAAGTTTCGTTGCAGTTGTTCAAGGCTTCCTTGGTAATCACAAAACTAAAAACTGTGTGGAGTTAGTGCAGATTTTTATAAAGATATTCGGATGCAAAATTTCTCTGAAAGTCCTTATCCTCGGTTCGCATTAAAACAAATTCAAGGCGAGCGCTTTCATCAGGATATATTGGATTTTAAACGTCGTTTCCTAGAACAGTTTAACGAAAAAAATGATAGGGAACTACATTTGGGGGCTACATCGAGAGAGTGATTCACATTACAATCGTAAATCTGGAAAATCTAAACATTTATAAACCTTGTTGAGTGGTTTCTGACTGTTTGTCTATTCCTTGTGCAATTTTTTTTTTACCTGGTCATAGTGACAAAAATGAAGAAAAATCGTTCTATTTTCACAAAAAAAACAAGTTTTCTTCGTGCAGTTGTCGTGTAAGCAAAGTTTGTGCTTAATGAAGTCATTTTTTCACATACTTTTAACATAAGCAATTGAAATATACACTTAAAAGCCAGGAACAAAAATTCTGTTACATAGTGTAGATCTTGTATGTCTACAAGAGAAAGTCTATTCGAGAAAGTCTATAAACCTACTGATTTTCAATAGTTTTGTGGTATGTTTCAAAATGGTTAGGTCTATAAATTAATATTTAGAGTGATTCACAAAAATTCTGACGGTTAAATGGAGTGCATATATTTGTGAACTTATCTTGAAAATTTGAAAGCAAATACCCTATCCAATATCAAGTTATGATGTTTTAAGTTTTCAAAAAACGCTCAAAATGAGAAGCTGAGAAAAATACAAAAGAAAGTTTAAAAAGTAGAAATCTCAACAAATAAATTTTTTAAATCCAAATAATTTCCTGTAGCGTAAGAGTCTATGGTTTCTTTTTCTTTTAAAATGTCACAGTAACCCTTTTGCTTTGCTCTTACGGATTTTCTTCGCCTTTTTACATTGTCAGTAACTTTATTGGTCATGCGTTTTACGCGTGATATATCGAGTTTCTTTGTAACTTGGTGCAAAACTATTCCCGTCAATCCAAAATGTTCTAATATGCCAAGGATTCCATTTCTGCCATTGTTAAAATGAATTACAGCTGAATAGGTACCCACTTCTATGGTTTCTCTTCCAACAAATATAGATTTTGGTACACGAGACCATATGATTGCATTCAAAGCCTCGTTTGCATTTTGTGTTTTGCCATGCATTCACTTTTCCAATAGTTCATCTTTCATTGAAGCTTTAAAAGTTGGAAAGATGAGACTTTTTATCCACAGAGGAATTAAATTTTGTGATCTATATGTCTTATTTGCTTTTGACAAATATGCACCAACTTCCAGCATCTCTTAGGCAAAATTTATGACAATCGAAAGGATCTGGTAGGTCAGTGAAATGAAAAAGTATTAATAATATTGCCTTCTTCATGGCATACAAATTTCCAATATTATTACGAATGGCCAGGCCATAATAATTTTGCATAGAGTCAATGTCCTTTTTGGTAAGTTTGCCCTTACCAAATAATACATTAAGGATGCAACAAACAAAATAGTAAACATTTTTATGAAGCTATATAAGTGTGACTTTCGATGTAACTTCCACACGCGTGTTTGTAATTTTAAAGTATACTTTTTAGAACCACTTTTGAGTAGAGCTATGTGGATTTTTTGTCTGACAAAAAAATGAGTTAAATGAACTACTTGAAAGAATTATATTAGACCATAATCATTTTGAACGGTAACTAAGGACGTTGCTATGTAATTTTTTGGGGGAATGAAAGTAGTGGCATACAAGGTGCTGTTTTATTGAAAATTTTCCAAAAAAAATCATTATTTCATCATTTTTTTATAGGGCTACCACCTTAAAGTCGTCGATTCATTAAATCAAATATAACTGAAATAGCTTCGTTAATGGGTATGGACGGATATCATTGGGATCTATTTTGCATTGCTTAGTTTTTTTTAGATTTTTCTGCATTAAACCGAGTAGGCTAGACGGTAAACCGTTCAACCTTTACAAGGTAGAATATTTTCCAAATAAAAATTAGCTTAATTTTTATAACAGAGGTAGTAACAGTTCTTCGCAGACATTATGGTAACACCTAAACGCGGATATAAAACGTATGTCTTTCGGCTGCAACAACTTAAACCTAATAATGTACGTACGAAAACTGTTAACGAATTTACTTTTAATAAATATTATGTACAATAAAATTTTAAATATAAAAAGTTTGAGATATAAATTTAGTTCGCTTTTGTTTGTTATAATCGTGATAACTGCTCTCTTTTTTAATTTATCATGTCAACTTCTTTGATAATGCTATTATATTTTGAGCTTGCTTCACTGATGGCATGTCAATCATTAAACCTCGAAAAGTGAACACACCCTAAATGAATAAAGAAAATTTTATAGGAAAAATTTTTAAAAAGAAAAAAAAAATTGATTAAATTTAGTTGGTTATCAAAATTCAAAAAACATTTTTGTAAATATATTTATTTTTAAAATGTGGTATGCGCCATTTTTGAATTAAGAAAACCAGATTTTAGACACTTTATATATATATATATATATATATATATATATATATATATATATATATATATATATATATATATATATATATATATATATATATATATATATATATATATATATATATATATATATATACATATGTATATATATATATATATGTATATGTATATACATATGTATAAGTATATGTATATATATACATATATATATATATATATATATATATATATATATATATATATATATATATATATATATATATATATAAATATATATATATATATATATATATATATATATATATATATATATATATATATATATATATATATATATATATATATATATATATATATATATATTTTATAACTGAGCAAAAAATATTTCATTACTTGTCCAGTTTTTTGCTGTTCATTGAAAGCATTTATAAGTTCCTTTGCTGTTTCAATTTGCTCACTGCTTGGTGAAAAGCATTGGTTAACAATATTGATTTGAGATGGATGGATAACTTGCTTACCTTTAAAAAAATATTTTTTGTATAAGTAAATTATAAAAAAAAGATAACAAAAATAAAAATGAAAATAAACGACTTTTACCTGTAAAACCCATTTTTGCACCTTCTTCGCTTTGCTTTTTCAAATTTTCTAAATCTAAATTCAAATAAATTGAATTTTAAGTTTAAAACAGTTTTATTGAAGAGACGGATAAAAATAATTAAAAAAAAGGATTAAAATAAATATAAATGTATATTTTAAAAATATTTCCTAAAAAAATTTTAAAGAGATATTTTCCCACCATTTATAAAAACATATACATTGCTATTTTTGAAATGGTTCTTAGTTGAAATAATTTTACTCCAGGTTTATTCAAATCACTGACATAAGATAACAACCATTAAAAATAAATAAAAACTGCGACTTTTTTTGTTTTGTGAGAAATTTTTATAAAACTCTGAAATGTTTAAAAAAGAAGGGGGAAGACTTAGTCTAAACTAATGAATTTCCAATATATCAGTAGGTTACTAGAAGAGTTTTTTTGTTCCATTTCTTAAACCAAGTGGTGTGTGCCTAAAATCAAAGTTTTTTTAAATTTGCAAAAGATTTACACAATTACATCAAAGTTCACACAGAAAATAAGAAATGGATACATTTTTGTTGTATTGATAGAGACAAAAAATGTCTATTCTTGGTTAAGAATTCATTGGTTCAACAAATAGAAAAAGATAATGTTTTAATATAAATTCGCATCCGACTGAAATTTGTTAAAGCTGCAGGTCAAAATTTTTAAACAGAAAGAAAAGACTACAAGTAAAGCTACTTTGAGACTTCTTGGTTGAATGGGTGCCAGTAAGTTAAAAAGTTAGGAAAAATGAAAAGTAGATAACAACTGCTTTGAGTGTTATTTGCATCCTAGAGATGATCACTAAAAGTAATTTTTAACTTAAATCTTCATAATTTACCTACAATAAAACTAAAAAAATCCATTTAAAAAAATCAATTTTCTCAAAATGCTGTTGAACAGCAATGGTATTTGTCACTAGGCAACTAAAAACAACTGTTCAAAATCTTCATAAAATTATTTTGAAGAATCCATCTAAAATAGCTATTTATGTGCATTAAAAAAATTGTGGTTAGTGAGAGTGCAAATATAAAACTTGCAACACATGAAAACGCTCTTCTTGTTTGAGTGTACTTGATAATTTATAAGACAAATACAAAGTGAAACCATTTTGAACTTGAAGATTGACCATGATTATCCAGGTTATTCAATTTTAGGAATAATGAAGGAGATAAGAAAAAATGTTTGAAGATCTTGAATACAAGTGAATACTTATGCTGAAGTTATGAACATGTTCACTTGGTCTTATTTACACATTGTAAGACTTCTACTTGTATTAAATTTTATGATGAAAAAATTATTCAGAGTGATCAAAACTTTATATAAAATATTGTTTATTGTACTAATTCATCTTGTGTTCATGAAGGAAATTTGTTCATTAAGGAAATTGAATCTTTTTAATTATGTTGTACATGTTGGTATTGAACAGAAAACTCCAGAGATTTTTGAACCATCAGCATTTCAGGTTTTCAATCAAGGAACCAAAATTACATCAGGATCAACAAGATAATTGTACTATATTGTTATTATAAGTATATTGTTAAAGCAATTGTTAGCAAATATATTGTTAAAGACAGGAAATTGCAATTGTTAAAGTCTTTTAAATTGTTAAATTGTTAAAAAAAAGTTGAAAAAAAAAATTGTTTAAATCATCAAACAGCACTTGTTAGCAACTGTTGTTTATTAACAATTGTTGTTTATTGGCAAGTGTTATTTATTAGCAATTGTTGTATATTGTTAAATACAGGAGACTCCATTAATATAAAACAGGTTTGATTTTGGATAACAAACACTTTGCATAGCAAAAAGCAGAAAGTAAATTTTGAAACAATGTGAAACAATTTTTATTACTTTTTTATTATTAACCAAAAAAAAACATCTCCAACATGGAAAACTAAAGAAACTATAAAAATAAATGATTAAAGTAGAAACTTTAAAATCAATCAAAACTGGAAGAATAAATTATTTTTAATTTAAATGTCACTTGATATGTAATTTTATTAAATTTGTAATTTTAAAGTGTAAAGTCATTTTTATTACTAAAACTTGAAATTTCAATTTAAAAACAGACAGAAGAACAGAGTTTTTAATTTTTAATTTTAAAATAGTCAGCAGTTTTCCACTTCTGGTCAGCAGTTTTTCCACCTTTGATCTGCAGTTTCCTATCTCTAATCAGCAATAGATTTAAAAGGAAAAATCCTCTTGTTTATCAGCTTGTTTTATAAAGAGCTTTAAGTATCAAAAACTGATCACAAATTTAAATACCACAGTGGGCAAGAATAATCAGTTTTGAGACAAAATTAATAAATAGGTGGCATATTACCTATAGTTTACAAACTTTGCATAGCAAAACTAGGTAACCATAGCAATATATTTAAATAGAATTTATGATGATTAAATAATCATTTTTTTTACACATAACTTTATTACTTGTTCTTATCAGTCCCATATGCATTGCATTTTTGTGTATATATATATATATATATATATATATATATATATATATATATATATATATATATATATATATATATACATACATACATACATACATACATACATACATACATACATACATACATACACACATACATACATACATACATACATACATACATACATACATACATACATACATACATACATACATACATACATACATACATACATACATACATACATACATACATACATACATACATACATATATAACAATACAATTATACATAGTTTAGAATAAAACAAAAGAAACAGAACTCATAACTTATTTATATAAAACATAAAAGTTCTAAAACTCCTAATGAAAATTTCTTTTTTTTTAATTTTATTTTATAAATTTAAAAATAATTATAACTTTCATATTTGTAAAATATACAAATGGCGGGGGCAAGAAGGATCCAAAATAGTCTTATCGTCAAACCCCTTTTTAATTGCTGTTTTTCTTAAACTGGATCAGACGGATCAGAGGTGCACAACAGTCGTTTATTACATCTTTATTACATTTTGATAAACTTATTTTTTTTTGTTCGGTGTTGGCGACAACTCTTAAAATCTTTATTACGAGCCTCTTGAGCTTCCTCTGACATAAGACCGATAGGTAGCATCATATTTTCCACTAAAAGGTATCCATGTATCAAATTTTATGCAAAATTTGAGATATACAGTACCAGGAATAACATTTAACAAAATATCTGGCAGTTTCAAAACAATAATCCTGAAGTTTTAAAATGTCTAATTTAAAATCTACTGAAGATACAACAAAGTATAACATGCAATCTTTCAATTAGCTCTTTATCAACTTCTGTAATTTAAATAAATATGTCTTCATTTAAAAAAGTTGTATCCTGGATGACTTTTTTTTTAATAACAATTTCAATGCGATTTCTGATGGATTACATCCACACACTGAACATGGCTGACTAAAGTAAGTTGTGTTGGATAAGGCAGTGTGCACCTTTTCATCAATCATAGTGATTTCGATATGGTTTGTAATAGATGTTTTTCGCCCTTCGATAACAACAATAGATGGAATCAAATTTTCCATGTTTTCTTTTAAGTTTACTTTCTTTATCAAGGAGCCTTTAGATTTAGTTTCCATTTTAAACTCAAAACTCAATAATAAATGGTTGACGATGGCTTTAAGTTTCTCCTTATAATATTTTTTTTTTCATCTTTAGTAGTAAATATCTTTAAAGAAACAACAACACAAGTAAACAAAATAAATAAATAATTTTTATTTGATAAATTATGAGAACTGCAATCTAATTTTTTTTTTATTCAAATCAGACATAATTTGACAACATAGTATGAAAAAACTTTTTATGCAGTAAACAGTATAATATAAATGAAAATAAGTAATAATTTAAAAACAAAAGTAACCCTAACTCAAGTGACAGCCCTTACGTTATTTCAATACAAGGGAGGATGCAGTAGAACTATTACAGATAGTCAGTACCCAAAACTAAGAATAACATATTTTTATCATCCTTATTTCATCAAAATTATTAGAGTACATCAACAAATCTTTCTGCATTTTTAAGTTACATCAATATAAAATATTAAAACCCCCTTAAAGTGAGGGGGTTGTACAAAATGTATTCAGCTTTAGAGCTGGCAGTGCTCAAAGTTGCTAGAAGCCAAAACTAATTTTACCTCAGTAAACTTGTTAATCATTTATTGTATATAATCATAGATGTGTTCGCTTGTGTTCCAAAAAGTATTAGGTTTATATATATATATATATATATATCTCTGATAATTATAATAAATTTTTTTTACACATCATTTTAAACAATAGAGAAAAAAAAGGTAATTTACATTAATATTTTATTATTATTGCAAGAAAACAATAAGCTATGAAAATATATTTCAAAATTTGCTAAAACAAAACGCCAAAACTAAAATTAATTTTAAATTTGCGAAGAAATAAAGTTGAACATACTTTTTATTGAGTTTTAAGTTGTTTTGAATATCTGAAAAAGTTCTGAAAAAAAAGAATCTGGAAAAATGGCGCCTCTTTAAATTGTAATTGTAAAAACAGTTTTTGAGATATATATTTAAAAAAAATTTAGAAAGGCTATGATATATACTATACTAAAATGTATCTAAAAAATATTTTAGGAACATCACATTTTTGAACATGCTTTTATTTAAATTAAAATAAATAAAAATTTCTGTTTTAAATTATGCAGAAAAAATTTTGAAACAATTAATATCTTTCTTTTTAATTAGTTTAGATTTTAATGTGAAGGTCAATGCTTATACGTGGAATTATGTTGATAATTTTCTAATAAAATTTTGTATCTTATTAGCTAATTATATTTTGTATCTTATGTTGGGTTAATGACATTTTTGTAAAATTGCATTAGCATACAAGGTTTGCTATCAGACTGGTACTTTCCAAGTTCATCTGAGGTCAGTGATCCTAAAGTACTTGAAACTTCTTTTTGATCATATGGTCAGTCACAAAAACAACATGGCTTCCATCGTGATTCACTGTTTTCAGGTTTTGCTAATTTAAAATTTACTTTAAAATTTACAAATATCTAAGGATGACATGATATACTCTGACCATCAACAAAGGGTGAGCTTCTGAACTTAAACTAAGAATGTGTCTCTGACCTTAAACTAATGATGAGCCTCTGAACGTAAACTAAGGATGAGCCTCTGACATTAAACTAAGGATGAGCCTCTGAACTTAAACTAAAGATGAGTTTAAGGTCAGAGGCCAAGTTAAACTTTAGCTGATCGAGTTGAAGAAGTTGTATAAGTTGTGTAAGTGTTTAAAGTTATAAGAAGTTGTGTAAGTATTTTCAGATTACAATCATTCTATAATTATTGCTCTATTTTTGCAATTAACAACTCTAACTTTGCTTTAACAACATACTTGCTAACAATTATTTTTTAACAATGTTTTATTTTTTACTATGTTTAAAAAAGCAGCACAAAAAAAAACATCTTTCTTTGAAAAAGCAATTATTTTTTACCATTAATTTCAGGATATGGCATTTACCCTTATTTCTAACTTCAAAACCTATTTATTAATAGAAATCCATAAGTTAAAAATGTGGTATTAAAAACAATAGCAGTGTTAAAAGCATAAATTTGTAAAACATACACATCAAAAATTTATTACAAACTGACAAAAAATCTTTAAATATTTTGAAATATTTTTCTATATACCATTGAAATTAATGTCGACCATATCAATTGCTTGCAAATTATATCCTTTCACATGCATTATGAAATATTGTCTTGCAAACAAGAGTTCAGATGCATTTATTGTTCGAACAGCACCTTGATAATAAAAAAATAAAAAAAATTAAATTAACTGATCATTTTTATCAATACCAATTGATAAAAATAATCAAACTTTATTTTAAATTATCATTAGTATTACTATTAATATCATTATCATTATTTGTTTATTATTATTTATCATTATTATAAATAAATATACTTATTATTATTATAAAATAAACTTCTCTCTCGTCTCTCTCTATGTTGCCTAGCATATGTATAATAACAAAGCTGCAGCAAGAAAATATCAATATAAGGGCTAAACTAAATAAAAGTGCTAAATTTAGCACAAAATAAATGTTTTTTTTTTTCTCTCTCTAAAAAGGGTGGTAATCCTTTAGCTCCTTGTCAGTAAATGATGGGCTGTAGCAACATCTTGGTGAATAGTTATAATGCTGGTGATTTACTAATATGATTTTTAAATTTATTAAGGTAATGAGAGTTAATAACAGTTTGTGGTGTAAACTCTATTGGCTGACTACTCTGTAAGAAAAGAAATGAAGTCTAGTAGAGATGGCTAGTAATGTAATAAACCTACAGAATCTACAATGTTGAGAAGCATTGAAGAACTCTTTGAAGAGATGCTGAGAGTGCCCTAAAGTTATTTGAACAGATAGATGTCCAATTTGTGGGTTAAACTAACAAACATTTTTAAAGTTATTAATAAACTTGAAGTTGTATATTAAATCACCTTGATTGTGTCTTTCATTTAGTGAGGTGAGATTTACTATATTATAATAACGTTCTTAGTAAGGAAATTTTTTTTGGTAATGTGGTTTTAAACTTTTTCAAGTTTTTTAATGCTGTGTACAGAAAGAGAATTCCAAACAGGGGCAGCTACTTATGATGAGATTTGACCAGCAATGTGTAGAGTCTCTTCCAGACTTGTGTGTTTTTATAGATAAAGGTTTTTAAGTTAACTGAAGACAGAGTTAGCTATTTATGATATTATTTCAACATGCAATGCATGCATTTGAGTTTGTGTATAATGCAAATACCAAGACCTCTTTTGTTGTAAGAGGAATCAAGAAGCTGCATCCCTTGAATCAAGATATAGTATTGGTCCTTGGATTTTTGCTTTTCTTAAAGTGAAAGATAAGACAACTTTTGTAGTTAAGAAGCAAGCGCCTGGTTGTCGTCCAAGATGTGATTTGATTTATATCGTTTTGGACCATAATTAGGCTGTCAGCTGTCAAGTTGGTGGAAACAACTTAAGTGTCATCAGCATATAACTTCATTGATATTTTCATTAATGTATAAAGCGAATAGAAGAAGTCCTATAACAGATCTTTGTGGGACACAACTGGTAACCAATTTGAATTAGCAGAACCCATGACAAATTGTTGTGTTCTGTTGGAAAGAAAAGACTATCCAATTAAGCAGCATATGAGAGACACTACAAAGTTTGCAATCACATATGATCATGAGAAAGTGTGATAAAGGCTTTTTTTATAATCTAGATAAAATGCATTTACACTATAGCTTCTTGCCATTGAATATAAGATCTGATCTACAGTTTCCAATAAATTGGTAATACATGATTTATTTGGGACAAAGCTGTGCAGGTTTTGAAATAAAAGATTATTAGCAGATAGATACTCAGTTAAACAATCTTTTACAATACACTCTAGAAGTTTGCAGCACACAGAAATTAAAGAAATGAATTTTTAGTTTGATGCATCAAGTTTAGATTTTTTTTTGTGAAGCAGCGTTATGTTAGCTTCCGGCCAGGCCGCTGGGACTAGACCTTCAAAAATAGATTTTATAAATATATAAGTAATAGGCACATTCAGAGATAAATATTTATTGAGGACGTGTGGGTGAATGCCATCTACACCTGTTGGTTTATGCATGTTAAGTTTTGAAAGTAGTGACTGCATGTAGTTCTCATTCAAAGACTAAAGTTTCATCAATCACAGAAAATGTGCACTTTTTGAATGTTGGCAGCAATCGACTTAAACTTAAAGGAGTAAAAACAGATGAAAAAAATTAAGGATCATAAATATGTTATATTTGATACTTTTATAGATCTTATTTGCTTTTTAAATTAAATTTTATGTTTATATACCAATAGATAAGTTTTACATTTACCTTGTCTTTGACTTATATAGATTTTTCATATAAAGTAATAGAATGAACAAGAGTTTTTTTTATTTTTTCGCAACAATTATTGTATTTTTTAGTGTCTAAATGCCAGTTTCTACCTTTGCTTCTATAATAAAGTTTATTTTTATTTTTTATTGCAGAAACTACTTCTTTTGTGATCCAAGGTTTGCGCAAAACCTGTGATTTAATTTCTAGTATTTAAAGATTACATTCCTCAATATAGATAGATTGTAGTGTTTCATAACATTTAAATTTCTAAAATGATTAACCCAGTCAATGTCTTTGAAATACATGTTTAGTTTTTCGAAGTTATTATCTTTAACATCTTGTAGAGATAAAGAAAACAGATTTCTAGGAGGATATGTAGATTCTACAGCATAATTCCAAGTTAGAGTTAAATGAGCTCATCTTTTTTTGGTGCAGTCAAGTTGAGATTGTCTTTCAAGAGAATATATGCGTTGAGAAAATTCAGTTAATATAAGATCTAGAGTGCTATTTGGGCCTATTATAGAGATTAAAAATTATTAAAATTGGCATGTTGCATTAAATGGTTGGAATCAAACGGCTCATAAAGTCTTCAGCTAGGGCATTAGTAGTGGTAGTAGTGTAATTAGACCATGTTCCGATTTCAAGATTAACTGAACATCAAATTTGTTCAGAGTCAGTTTTGTTAAATTGAATTACTTCACGGTTTATTATTGTGTCAGATATACAAATGCAGACTCCATGAAGATTAGTTTTGCGATCATGCTTATATGTAATATAATTTTTGAGAATAGTAATATAGTTTTCATAAAAAACAAGTTTCTGTTATGAAGACAAGACTTGGTAGTGCTTTTGAAGATTGAATAAGACTTTTAGCTTAACAAGTTACACGAAGTTTAATGAGGTTGCGTTTGCATAAAAACAATTAAAATTACTATGGTGTTTTGTTAATTTTATCATTAACAATCATTATTGTATTGTTATTGATTCTGTTGTAGGCTGATCGAAGTTTTAATTCTGTTTTAACATGTCTAGAATTATATGTTTTATTTGAGAGTCGAATCCCAAACTCCATCAATGTGTGTGGCCCTACCACTAAAAATGGTAAAACAAAAGAGCTGATCCTTTTGCTGACTTTCAAGTTTTTCTATCTTGAGCCTAATACATTCTTTACCTAATAATTTTAAATGCCTATTGAGCAGGAGTTTCATCGGGGTTGATGTAGATACCATTGTAAACGTTAAGTCTTAGTTTACAGACAACTTTGAGAATCGCACTTCTTTCTTCTATGTTGTTAAAGACTACTAGTAATGAACCTGTTTGAGCCTCCTTGTGTACCTTCTGAAGTGCCTACTAGCAACATTTTTACATTAAGTTTATTAAAGAGCGATGATGTAACATTTGATATGGTCAGCAACAACTAAAGAAGACCAGTCTTATATTGAAGTTCTTCATTTTTACTTAAAGCATTAGCAACAAAATTAGCTTTCAGTTGTTTCACTGATGTTTCTAATTTCTGACCGTGAAGCTTGTTATTTTTATTCTGTTTTTTCTATTAACACTCTTATTAATATCTAAATTATTAAAAATTCTATGAAAAGATTAGATGTATTTTTTTTCCATCAAAAAGTAAACAAAGTCTGAAAAAAAGAATAGTTATGTAGATTTCAAAATATTTTTGCAAAGAAACAAGAAGAAAAAAACATAACAACCTAAAATGTATATTGATAAAGAATTTATTAGTTAGATTACTCATTATCTATTCTCTTAGGCAATCACTATGATGTTTTGGATTTTCTAATCCACTTATCTTTTATTCTCTTTAGCAACCACCATGATTTTTTTCACTAACTTTCTAGAAATATAGAAAAATGCTAAAATGTCCTTCAAAGCAGCTTTTTTAAGAATATCTACAAATTGCTCACCACAAATCTAAAATTGTATACCTTGCTATTAAAATTGTATATGAAAAATAGATACCAGCTGTTATTTCCATCAAACTCATGCCTGTCAATGATCCTCATATCTGAACTTAGATTAAATTATTTCAAAGTAAGATATATTCTCAGGATAAAGATGGTTGATAAGTTTTTGTACTGTTGATTATGTATTGTAATGCAATAGTAATACAATAAAAACATCTTCAACCAAGTACCACGTACCATGTTTGTCTAAAAGAATAATTTTTAAGACTTTAGCTTTTTCTTCTAAGTTTGAGCTACTTTATTAGTATTGAGTTCATTAGATGCCTGTATTAAGATGGATGTACTATGATGGATGGGTGTACTATGATAAATGTACTACGATGGATGACTGTACTATGATGGATGTACTATGATGTATGCCTGCCTATTATGATGGATTACTTTAGAAACAAAAGATTATTTCCAAATATTATTCCCAAAATAATCCAAAAAAGGTTCTGATGAGCTGCAAGTTTACAATACAGAAAATTGCAGCTCTTCAGAACACTTTCTTTTTTAAGCAGTGGGATTTTTTGATCCTTTTCACTGGATACATTGATATGGTACTGATAATTGATTTAAACCGTTAGATGAAAACGATGGAAATGATATTAAACTCATTTCAAAATCAGAAAAAGAATGGTTTTAAAATAGATTTTTACATTTGTTAGTAACAAGTTTTTCGCGTAACTCTTTCTTTCATTCAATTTTCTTAAGGTAAATAATGTCAACATTCTCAGTTAAAGTTGTTTTTCAAGTTGATTTCACTCTTTATAAAATCGCCCGCTTTAATGACATAAGGAGTCCTGTTACAATCAGCTCTGATTTTTGTCACAAAATGACAAAAATTGATTTGAAAAAAATTGCTCTTAAATTTGTAATTTTTGTTAAATGAAAATAAAATGTACGGGGCTTCAAATTCTAATCCCAGTAACATTATTTTGATACCCCTTCCTCTGTACCATTCTTCATAGATACATTATATAGACATTCTGATGAGAGTTTGAAAGGTTGAGAAAGTTTTTGTTTTTGAAATCTTATTTGCACATCTCTTTCTCAACCCTAAAAAACCTTCATAAGAATATCTGTATAATATATCTAAATGGAATGGTACTGAGAAAGGGGCATCAAAATAATGTTACTGGAATTAGAATTTATAACCTTCTATTTAGTATTCACAAAAATAAGGGGCTATAATTTGTCTTAATCTCCAGGTTTAATTTTGAAGTAAAACAAACAAATAACAACAGCTAGCCAAAACCTTTTTAATATGCGCTTTGTTTCTTTACCTTATTATATTTTTCATGTGAAATTTTGGAAAATAATACAAAATAAATACATAAGTTATAACAAAAAAAAAGTAGTCAGTTCACAAGCACTTTAAATTTTTTTGGCCGTTGTCTGTGTTTAATCAAAACACTCAGCTCACAATCAAAAATGAATGAAAGTTTCCTTTAAACCAAAAATAAGTCATATACTAGTGTAAAAATTTGTTTTGATTTACTTTGCTAGAAAATACATTGCTAAATTAATTTTGTAAACTGAATTTAGATACTGAATGAAAGTTTTGTTTTTGTACTTGTCTTTAATAAAGTCAACAATAAAATATCTTTTGGAAATTTTCATTAAATAAGATTGACTGCTCAGAAGTTGTAGAAGCAGTTCGTATATACACAGTGACGGTGGAGGAAGGAGATGGTTGTAATATTTTTGCATTTTTTATTGCATAAAAAAAAGGTCCTCTATTTTAAAGATATTTTAGAACTTTCAGATTCTGGTAGGGACGGTAGGTCCTTCTTCCTAAAATTGCGCTATTTTAAATGTAATTTCTGATCAAATTGATCTTTAGGTGGTTCTGACCATGCAATGATCTCTATAAATCTTTTATATTGTACTTCCTTTTCGGACTCATCCTATCATCGCACTACTTACTAATATCCTAAAGCTGACTGGGATTCTTTTTGTGACTTTCTTGTGACAGTCCTTGGGCTGATTTGTTTTTCTCTCTCAGCTGATAAATGCGTCTTCAACATAACCATCTGGATTTAGGCAGGAATGGAAACTTTTATTCCTTCTTGTAGGTTCCAAATAAAGCCTCAATTTACTACATGGCTTTTATCTTTTTGTGCAGCTGCCATATCTAATGGTAATCATTTTTCATCTTTTTCAAAAGAACAACTCTCTTGAGAACAAACAGCAAAACTATTTGCAAGAAACAAGTGAGACAGAGCTGGTTAGCAAAAAAGAATTGTAAGCTTTACATTAGGCGTTCAAAAGATATTATATCTTGGCTTGTTTAAAATTAAAAGGCAGCCCATTTACTTACAAATCAGATATCAATAAATATATTGAAAAAGAGAAAGATCTGTTAAATTTCAAAAACAATCGATGAAAGGGATATTTATTTTAGTAATAATTAAAAAATAACAGATGATTGCAGCAAAGATTACAAGTAATTGTTACAAATTCTTCCTTATATGGAGTAATTTCATGTATAATGCCTATTTTGTTATTGTATTTATAACTACACATACTGAATACATATTTTATTGATAAAACAAAAAGAAAAATATTTTCCTTGCATTCTACTTTAATAATAAAGATTTCATTTATTTAACAATTGATTGTTTTGTCAAAATAATCACTTTTATTGACATTGAAATATAAGGTCAAATATTTATAATTAAAAAAAAGTATTAAGTAATTCAAAATCAGCAGAAATTAAGAAAAAATGGTTAAACTACACAATATCCAAAAAAAGTTAATTTTGGACCCCTTCCTCCCCTTCCCTACTACACCTTTTCAAGATGTAAATGAGAACATGAAAGTTGTAATTAAAATGTCGTAATATGTAATTAAGAAACACAACATGTAATTGAGAAAACGTTATATGTAATTGAGAAACACAACATGTAAATAAGAAGTCGTAACATGTAATTAAGAAACACAACATGTAATTGAGAAAACGTAAGATATAATTGAGAAATCATAATATGTAATTGAGAAATCGTAACTTGTAATTGAGAACACATAAATTAAAATAGCAAATTCACAGTCTAAGTTTGTAGGTTGTTACAAAAGGTCTTTTTGGACATGAATTTAAGTTATAATCTAAAATTTTGCTTTTGTATGCACAAGTAATAATAATGGAATTGAAAGATCGTTGTGTTATATGCCAATACACTATGACCCGAAAGTCTGTGATTAAGCTAAATCCGTGTCAACATTAATGTCACCAAATTTGTTTACGTCCAGTTCTGGAACAACCAGATTCAAGTTGTCCGATTTGTCGGCATAAAATACACACAACTGAACAAGTTGAAAGGAAACGTTACGTTTTATCTTCTCCAAATGACAGGAGAAGAGTTGTTGAATGTGCAGAGCGATTTGAAGATTGGTTGAATCTCGCGCAAACGCTAGGTATCAAATATAAGACAGCATACAATTGGGTTCGCAGCGGAAATTCAAATTTCATCGGAAAAGGAGGTTTTAAACCGAAAAAGTTGACCGAAGATCAAATCGAAGAAACATTAACATGGATTGAAAATGATTGTCAATTAACATTGGTGGCTATCAAAACAAAGATATTAAGACAATTTAAAATAAACGTTAGCACAACAACAATAGCAAATTACAACGAAGGCAGATTGCTCTCATTAAAAAAAGTGCACAAGGAGCCTTCTACAATGAACAGTTATGAAAACAAACAAAAAAGAGCTGAATATGTTAGAAACATCAACGAACATATCACAAATGGTCGTCAGATAGTTTGGTTGGATGAAACAAATTTTAACCCTTTTTTGTAGAAAAACGCAAGGACGCGCGAGACAAGGAAAAAGAGCAATTATGAAAGTACCTGCTTCAAAAGGTTTAAACAAACACTTGATCGCAGCTATTTCAACTACAAATGTCGTCGTGATAGAAACTCGCAGGGGATCATTTAAAGCAGATTCCTGTAACGAGTGGATGTTGGCTATGTTTCACCAGTGGGTTACATCCGGGAATCGTTTGGAGGATTTGGTCTTCGTAACAGATAATGCTCCTTGTCACGCTCGTTAGCAAAGGGTGTTTGATAATTCACCAGCTCAGTTGTTACGTTTGGGACCTAACAGTCCAATGTTGAACCCGGTGGAAACGATCTGGTCCAAAATTAAAAGTAACATTAAAAATGCAATTCGCATTCCACCTGTATTAGGTGACGGGATTGCGGAACAGCGCATGCAGTACTTAGAACGAATTGTAATTGAGGCGAAAAATACTATAATGGGAGGAGATTGTGCACGTGCGGTACAACACACAACCACGCACTATGCAACTATTTTAAATATGGAAGACGTACAAGTTGATGCTTAAATGATCAATGAAGCGATTTTTAATTATATAATTTTTAATTGAATTATAAATTTTTCCCTAAAATGTTTTTAGTGTTTATTATGTTAAATTCATTTGCCCAAAAATTATAAATTTTTCCCTAAATTTTTCCCTAAAAAATTAAATTTACGCTACAAATCTTGTGTCATTTTTAAGTCATTTTATACGCTCCATTTTTTTACGCGCCATTTTTTTTAAGCGCCATTTTACACTTACTCCTTTAAGGCGATATCTAAATTAAAATTTTCGTGTTCTCAATTACATCTTTCTATTTCTTAATTACAACTTACATTTTCTCAATTACATGTTACGATTCTTAATTACAATTTTCGTTTTCTAAATTACATCTTACGTTTCTTAATTACAACTTTTGTTTTCTCAATTACATCTTACGATTCTTAATTACAATTTTTGTTTTCTCAATTACATCTTGAAAAGGCGTATAACAGTAGTGATCTTTTACTTTAAAAAAACTCGTTTTTAATGTGTAAGAATTCTGTCCACAGCTTTATAAAATTAGAAAAGATATTGTAAAAAATTTTTTAAAACTTCAAATTGAAATGAGCATATATTAAAAAAGATTTTCTTGATATGTAAATTAATTTTCGTATATTAACTAAAACCATCCACTACAAATTCTAAAACAAATCCCAATTACAAATAATAACAACCTAAACCAAAACTCTTGAATGAAAGTTTATTTAATTCCTCTAAATGTAATTATAAGGATGCCCTTAATAAATGTAATTATAAAGATGCCGTTAATAAATCTAATTATAAGGATGCCCTTAATAAATGTAATTATAAGGATGCCCTTAATAAATATAATTATAAGGATGCCCTTAATAAAACTTTGAACTAAAACCTGAACCTGCAAAAGAAAATAGAAAAAAAAAAAGAAAAAAAAAAAAGAATTAAAAGCATAAATTGGTTTAATCCACTGTATAGCAAAAATGTTTTTGCTAACATAGAAAAAGCTTTTTTAAAATTGATGGACAAGCACCTCCCGCCCTCAAATAAGTTAAAAGACAGCTTAAATTTTTAAAAGACAATTAAAGTTAGCAAAATTTGCACAAAAAATATATACAAACAAAAAAAAAAAAAAAAAAAGCAGAAAATTGTAATAGTAAACAATCGTCCAATGAGTTATATAAATTCAAACATTCATATATGTATATATAATGTTTTTCGATAAACATTTATACATTTATAATGAATGTACATAAAAAAATAACGCATATAAAATGTGTTGTTTCTGCTAATAATGTATTGCTGATAAGCAATACATTGGCTTAACAGCAGGTGAATGAAAAAGTGTTTTACCAATCATAAGCAATATTGAATTTTTACAATGGTTATACTAAATTCATCTTTATTTATACCTATACTGGCTAGATAGTCATCTGATCCAAAAACAAATGCTTCAAAACAAATGTTAGAATGTTCTTTTGTTGCTTCATCAAGAATGGAACGAAGATTGAGCATACCCTTTGCTGTTTCAACTTGACCAATAATTGAAAGTTTATGCGAGGAGTGGCCTGATGATAATAAATGCTTACTTGATTCATTTTTGAACTAAATATATATATATATATATATATATATATATATATATATATATATATATATATATATATATATATATATATATATATATATATATATATATATATATATATATATATATATATATATATATATATATATATATATATATATATATATATACATATATATATATATATATATATATATATATATATATATATATATATATATATATATATATATATATATATATATATATATATATATATATATATATATATAAAGTTTCTCTTTTTTTTTTGAAAAAAAAAATTGATGTTTCTTGTTTTAACACTGTCGATATTTTAGATGCCGAGGACAAACTTTCACAAATTCTGGTATATATAATCATGAATATATTTTTTATATATATATAATAAAACAAAATATTAAATAAAAAAATAAAATTTTTGACTAGTTTTGTGAGTAAAAAGTTTTATATTTTGAATGATTGATTTGTTTTTATCAATACTAAATTATTATTTATAAGATATCAAACCAATACAATACTTGATTTAAAGGAAGATTTAAAAAACAATATGCAAAAAAGTAATGTCTAACGATAAGGCAATTAACTCAGAATTAATCACCTGAACTAAATTATCGATTTTATCTTGATAATTAGGCTCTAGACACTTTTAGAAAACATTTAATACAAATTAAAGTTCAGAGCATTTTGTTAAAAGCATTAACTAAACGCTCTGAACTTAATTTTTTTCATTTAATTTTTTATTTTTTAATTGATTTTGATAAATACATAATATTCTGTTTATCATTGACAAAAACTTTTTCAATGGTTAACAGAATATTAATGAAAAAACAGGTTTTTTGCTTCAAAAAATAATGAGGATGCAAAAAAATTATATTCTTAATTGTATGATTGCATTTATGAAATTTTTTTTTGTAAACAAAGGTGGGGATCGAACTCAAACTTTATTTTACAAAGAGAGTGTTCTGCAACTACACCAATACCACATTCTATAGCTCCGGTGAATGAAATGCTTAAGAAGTGATTATAGGTAGCTTGATTAATATAAGTTACAGTACTAAAGTACTTACTGATAAAGTAACATCTGTTTCTTTTCTTGAAATTTTGTATACACGCAAAAAAAAGTCTTTGTTTCCTTGGAGATAATTGTGAGAAATATCAGACCAACAAGTAACAAGCACACAAATCTTTTATAAAAGTAATAAGAAAAGTTGATCTTCATAACTTCTGACCAGCTCAATAAAAATGTTATGACAAAAACAATTAAATACTTTTTTTGTCTACTACTTGAGCTGAGTTACCTTAAACAAGGTATTAGCAAATAGTAATAAAATTTTCAATTATTAAAGAAGATATTTCTAGACACAGCAGTGAATAATAAAAAATATATATTTAACGCCACAGACATGGCCTGATAAAAATTCTAATGTTTTTTTAAGTTTTATGTCAAACACAATCTTGTACACTCAGTAGGCTGCAACTAAACTTATCACCACACTTGATACAGTCCTGCACTTTGCTCAATATGTTATGGTAGTTGTACAGTGTTGCCCTCAAGACCTACAACTGAATAAAAATAATTTTTTTTATCTAAAATTTTTCATTATTTTTTTGATTATTTCATTATTTTAAAACTTTTTTATTTTATTTAAACCTTATTATTATTATTTTTGGGATAATTTATTAATGTTTTTTAAATTTATAAAGTAAAAAATTTATTATTTATTACATCACAATTTTGCATAAAAATATTTGTGTATTATTATTAAATATTACAAAGTGTATATTAAATATTTGAATTTTGTAATTAATTAAATCTCTAAGTAAAACCTTAGTAATGATCTTGTCTGTCAAATGAAGACAAGGAGCAGGATACAAAGTGGCTGAGAAAATAGACTGTTTAAAAACATCAAGAATTTTATATTTATGCAAGATACGTTAATAATTTAGTTAATTATATTAGAAGCCCTTGAAATTATGGTTAAGATTACAGCAATGGCAAATTAAAAGTGCCTGAGATTTTTTGTCAACCTAGTTTCTGTGTTGTTATGGTGAAACCTTTGTCTTAGAAGTTTTGTGAATTCAAAAAGACTGAATTAGTAATTAAATTTTTTTTTTTTTATTGGCACTTTATTTTTTTCACGCTCAATAATTGACATGTAATAAGAGACATGTAAAAGTTTAAGCTCAAGCTTCATGTTTTTGGTTCCCCAAATGGCAGACTGTTTAAAAACGCCAAGAATCTTATATTAATGCAAAATGGTGCTGTTTACAATTCAGCAACAAATATTATGATTTACTTAGAAAAAAGTTGATGTATTGCCATGTTCTTGTAATGGTTAACTCACCTGTTCTCTACCCCATTAAAAACATTAGGAAGCTAGTAAAGCTAAAAATTGGAAAAAATTATAACAACCAAGTAAGATCTCATGGAAAACATCATCAGAACCCGATATTATAATATCAAACTATAAAAAAACTACTGCTATTACAAATTTAAAAAGTTTATTTTGCAAAGTATTTTATAAATTTTTCAAGTAAGCTTAAATTACACTAGGGAGCAACATTTTTGCTACCTGAGATCTATTAAGTGTACTAAGTGTACCATTTTGACCTGCTGATTCTAAATATGTCATTGAAAATTGTGTACCATGTCAGGTTTTAAAGTTATACTGATTTCTTGATTTACCATTTTAACACTTTTTGATAATTAGAAATATAATGTCAATGCTTCTAAGTTTCAATACAATAACTAAAATTTTTATGTAAATAGAAAAGCAAAAGCAACTATACAATATCAGATGTACAAATAACTTCAGGCAATCGAAATACAGTGCATTTTGAAATAATTAGATGATGTTGCATTTCTTTTGAAATTATTGTCACACTTTTGCTGTAAAAACCAACAAAAATCACCCATCATGTTGCTGTCATACCTCCTTTGATATCTGTTTTCCATGGTTGCTATTTCTTGGTGAAAATGTTCACCCTGTTCGTCGCTGACTGCATCTAGATTGGGTGGCAAGAAAGTGAGATGGGAGTGCAAAAAAAGAATTTTTAAGGACATTCTGCATCCCATCCTGTGTCTTGAAGGTGGGATTATGAATGACTTCATGAATTTGAGGTCCAGTGAATACACCCACACTTATTTTTACTGGTGTAAGAGTGATCTTGAACTTCTCTTGAAGATAAGCGAAGCCACCTGAATCCTTGCCCATAGCCTTTACAAAATTTTTGAACAGTCCAAGCTTTATATGAAGAGGGGAGAGTAGTATTTTGGTAGGATCAACAAAAGACTTGTGTCGTACATTGTCTGCCAGGTACATGATTAGTTCTCACTGGCCAGTCTTTAACTGTGTGATGATTTTTGTCATCAGGGCTGTTCCATAGACATAGAAATGTACTTTGTGTATCCCAGTTGCAATCCAAGAAGAAGGGACACAGTCACTTTTAGATCCCCATTGAGGCACCAGTTATGATCTCTATACTTAATAACGTTAAGAAGCAACTTCATAGAATCATATATCTCATGTAACCCGACTGCATGTGCTAATGGAATAGATGGCATCACATTCCCATTGTGTAGGGGAACTGCTTCAAGACTAACTTTACTTGAGTCTATAAACAGACGCTTGTCTCCTGGAGTGTCCTCACGGTCCAGTTCTTTCATTAAACCTTTAATGTCAGTACAATAACAGATACTGTCATTCTTGTCATATAAAATTAGCAAGCCTATCATGCCTATCACAAAAATGTGAAACTGTTACATGCCTTTCACAAAAATGTGAAACTGTTGTTCCGCTTTGAAACAAATTCCATTGTTGTAAACAAGATCCAGCAGTTCTGCCTTCTTCTTCTTTAACTCCAGATCCCTCACTAAATCGTTCAATTCAGCTTGGTTAATAAGATGAAGCATCTTTTTATCATCTATAGGTATATATGCATCACTCTCCTGTTCCCTGTGACTTTTCTCATCATCATTGTCGCTTTTGCTATCAAGGCATACTGGATGATTGCATACTGGATTTTGTTCATTGTGTGAAACAGGTTTCAAAGCAGAGTCACAATTAGGATAATGAATTGCTGATATGTTTTTCTTGGAATATCCAGCAAAATTTGTCATTCAGAAGTAGCAGTCTAAACGATTATCTCTTGGCTCTCGCCATATCATTGGTACCGCAAACAGCATAGACTTCCATTTGCCACTTAGCTACTGGGTGAGCCCCACATAATAAAAACTGCAGCAAATATGTGGCAACCAGGTTCTGTCTTGATCACATACTTTGACGCTGAAGTAGTGATGATAGGCAACCTTTACTTTTCTAGTTATTTCCACTGATCTCAGGAGTAAAATGTCCACAGATATAACAGAAAAAGTCTGGATGATTCAAGCAAATTTTCAAAACAATATAAAGCAAAAGCCTTTTAACTTTCTTCATATTGTTTTGAAAATACTACACGATCAGTCTAAAATAAAAAAAACATAACATTTAAAAGTAAATTACACAGCACAACAAGTATACAACAATGTTAAGTAATATAAGTTTCTTTTTTATAAAGTATTATATATTCATTTCATGAATGAAAGTACAAGTTTTAAATAGCACCATTATTTTGCTTGAAAATTCATCTTTACAAAATTATTTACTAGCAGTGGTCCTAATGTGAAGGCCACCCAATGCAACTCCTAAAATGTTTTGTAGAATGTTTACCTGCAACCACAAACATATAAACTAATTTAAGACAACAAAAGCTAGAAAAATATACCCATTTAAGTTGACCAACTGATTCTATTTTAGGAACCATTAAACTATCTGGCAAACGATTCGAACTTAATACACATTCTAAATCATCTTTTGCAAACTCTGTATCCAATGAATTGATTCGCACTCCAACTTGATTTTGGAAATCAATTGACTTTAGACTTTCATAGATAGTAAGGCGACAATCATTCTAAAAAAAATGTAAAATAATTCTAAAATAAACATTTTTCTCATGAGCAAGTTATTGAAGAGTACTTAAGATTGATTTTATTTTCAGACAACTGTTTTATTTTGACTAATTAGCAATTCAACTATTGCATACTAATATGTAATATATATATATATATATATATATATATATATATATATATATATATATATATATATATATATATATATATATATATATATATATATATATATATATATATATATATAAAATAGGGTGCTTCTAAAAACAACTTTTTTTGAAAATGTCTGCTGGCACCCCTTGAATGTATTCTATATAACAATATAATACTGGATTTAAAAAATATTTTGAGGGGTTGCTACGGATCCTCGAACATTAAATCGGTCCCTAATATTATCAATAAAAAGTTTTTCAAAAGTATGTCATGTTGGTTCTCAAATGAAGCAAAATTATATAAAAATTTTTAAAATATGAATCATTTTATAATAAATTATCATTTTAGATTTTAATCAACAGAAAATGACGCTTTTTAACTAAAAACAAAAAATAAGGAATTTAACAAGATTTTTTGATTATAATTTTTTTTATCAATGTTTTTTTATAAAATGATGATTATTTTTAAAATTTTTATATAGTTTTGCTTTCTTTGAGACCCAACACAATATACTTTTAAAAAACTTTCTTTTTTATTATTTTAGGGACTAATATAATAAAATAAATATGTTATAATATAATAAAAAAGAAAGGTTTTTAAAAGTATACTGTGTTGTGTCTCAAACAAACAAAACTATATAAAAATTTTCAAAAATAATCATCACTTTATAAAAAAACATTGATAAAAAAAAAATATAATCAAAAAATCTTGTTAAATTCCTTATTTTTTGTTTTTAGTTAAAAAGTGTCATTTTCTGTTCATTAAAATTCTAAAATGATAATTGATTATAAAATGATTCATATTTTTAAAATTTTTATATTTAATGTTCAAGGGTTGGTAGCAACCCCTAAAAATATTTTTTATTGAAATTTTTTTAAATCCAGTATTGTATTGTTATATAAAACACATTCAAAGGGTGCCAGCCAACATTTTCAAAAACAAGTTGTTTTTAGAACACCCTAATATATATATCAGGGGCTATTCTAGACTGTTTTTGACAGTCACGCGTCCCCATGACGATATTTATTTTATTATATTATGCATGCCCCAAATTACGACAAATTTTCTATTTCTTTTTAAAAAGAAATAGAAAATTTGCCCAAGTCGACGAATTTTCTATTTCTTTTTAAAAAAGCACTTAATTGATCACTTAAATTTTTTTTCTATACAAATACTTAATCTATGCAACATCTGTTAGTGAATAATGAATTAAAAAAGAAAATTTTTTATGTCGACTTATGGTGTAAAAAATAATCACTGTCGACTTTGAGTAGACCCAGGCTTTATATATATTTTTATATATATATATATGTATATATATATATATATATATATATATATATATATATATATATATATATATATATATATATATATATACAGTGGGTTGCCAAACTATTAGGGACACTTCACTTTTTAAGTAATTTTAAAGTTTAAACTACTTTAATGAATAAATATCTTGTAGTTATTTTTAAACATTGTTTTTATTGTTAGAGGGTTTTATTTAGAATATAAAACAACATAATTTTTTATTCATAGCTATCTATTTTTTTATAAAAAGTTTTAACATAACAAATAAGGTAATAATCCTAATATTTTGTAATGCCACCCTTTGCTACAATGACGGCTTTCAGGCGTCGGGGCATGCTTTCTATGCAAACTTTTGCATTGTGTTGGAGACTGGGGTTGTTATGCCACTCTCTTATAAGGGTTTCTATCAATTGCTGCTTAGTAGTGATGATTTCTTTGGCAATTTCCTGTTTTGTGAACTCCCACAGATTTTCTATGGGGTTCATATCAGGTGAATTCCCTGGCCATGGCAAAACACACACATTTTTTTCAGTTAGGAATGCTGTAACACTTCTAGCTTTATGACACGGTGCTGAGTCATGGATGAACATGTACTCTTAATTATCAGCAAACCATTCTTGGACCTGGGGCAGGAGACTGTTTTCCAGTACTCGCTTGTACTGATCCTGCCTCATGGTCCCATCCACAATGTAGAGGCAGCCCATACCCTTGGCTGAGATCACAGACCACACCATTACACTCACAGGATGTTTAAACTTTTCTAAAAGGCAGTCCTGGTGAAATTTTTTTCCTGGACGTCGTCGAACAAATGAGCTTTTGTCCATCAAAATTTGAAATGTTGACCCGTCCGAGAAGCAGACCTGTAAAACATTACAAAGATATTTTAAATTATAATCCTATAATTTTTCTGGTTTCTTACAATATTATAAATTATATTTCCTCTATTCCAGTCTTCAATAGTCATATGCTGGTGTTTTCTAGCCCAATCCAGTCGCTTTTTTTTCATGGCTTCAGTTAATCGTGGTTTTTTTGTTGGGCGACGACCCATTAAATTCTCTTCAGCCAACATTCTTTGAACCGTCTTTTTGGAGATGTTAATTCCTTCATTGTTTATCATTTTAGCTAGTTGAGCCACACTTTTTTTCCTGTTTTTAAGACAGATGTCCCTAATTTTAGGGTCACAATGTGGAGTAGTGATCCTTTTTCGGCCATTTTTGCCGACACGGCCTGGTTCTAAAGGCACATTTGTATCAATTTTTCTTTTAATTCGGCTCATTACTGACTTTGAAACACTTGCAATTGCTGCTATTTCTCTCTGAGAATGTGTAGAATGAAGAAGTAAGGTTTTTACTTCCATACTTTTTCTTAGGGTTAAGTCGGAAGACTTGCCCATACTAAAAAAATCAATATGAGGTAAGAATGGTTAAATGTCAGGATTTATGCATTAAAATTAGCAAAAATAATTAATTATTAGCCTTAACTAATTGAACTATTAACCAATACTTAGGTTTCAATAGTTCTGTACTCGAAAAACTTGCAAAAAATTGTTCCAAAAATAAATAATTGAAATCAATTTAGAACTTACTCCAACCACACTTTTCAACAATTGACAGCTAATTAAATAATAACCTGACTTTTTGAAAGATAGGTTGGACTGACAGTGTTGCCACAATTTGAAAACAATTATAATTATGTTATTAACTAAAATAAACAAGAAAAATTATTTAAAAACAATTTATTTGCTCGCAATAATCATTAAAACTTTAAAATTATTAAAAAAGTAAAGTGTCCCTAATAATTTGGCAACCTACTGTATATATATAATATATATATATATATATATATATATATATATATATATATATATATATATATATATATATATATATATATATATATATATATATATATATATATATATGTATATAAATATACATTTATATATATATATATATTTATATACATATATATATATATATATATATATATATATATATATATATATATATATATATATATATATATATATATTTATATTTATATATATAATATATATATAAATATATATATATATATATATATAAATGTATATTTATATATATATATATATATATATATATATATATATATATATATATATATATATATATATTATTTCTGAAATTTGTTTTTGAATAATTGTTTTTAATCGTTATTGAATAAAAAATAATAATGATTTTTTTTATTTTTAAAAATTTCTAGAGTAAACAAAAAATATTAACATTGAAAAACACAAACCCATGTTAATTATTTAAACAACGATTTTGTTTTGACTAGCAAAGAAAAATTTAAGTTTTTAAATATTTTTAAAATTTTTAAAAGCGTTTCAACTTGCGTTTTATAAAAATATAAAAAAGTTTAGTCTGCTTTGAGCATATTTTTGATACGTAGTTTAGAACGCGTTCGCTAGGAATTTAATTCATGAATTTTTTATGTTATTGTAAAAATATTTAACTTTTTAAACAAATCACAAAGAAACAGAGCTATAGAGAAAAATCGTTTTCAACAATTAAATCTTTTTTTTTTTTAATTTTAGGAAATTAAAAAAAAAAAATTAATTAAATATAAAAGACTTAATTATGCAAACTCTTTTGTTAATTATTCTTAAAACAAAAAAACAAATACTATTACGCCAAACTTTAATCGTGCAAACTTAAAAAAATACTCAACTGAAATAATTTAAGTATATTTAATAATTTGAATCGTATCTGTTTATAATAAACTTTCGTAAAAATTTGTTTATTAAAAATTAAGTTCCTTAACTTATAACAAACTCAAAAGTATTTTCATTCTACGTATAATTACAAAACTCTTTTTTTTTTTCGTTTGTAAGCAATTTAATTTAATAAAAAAAAAAAAGAAGAAATATGAGGTAATCTTTGTTAAGAATAAATTTAATTTATTTATTGAACTATATTTTTATTTTTAATTATATATCAACTTAATTAAAATATAGTAACATGTTAAAATATTTTAACATGACTTGTATCATTTATAAACTGTTGGGCAGTTGCCCTTACAGCACTATTGCTTTTGGATATTATTTTATTTTGATGAAGATCACATAACTTACATTTGATTTTAATAACGTAAGTCTTCTCTTTTTCTGTGATCATCGCATCGGCAAAGCATCGGCAAAGTCCCAATATTTAAAAGTTTTTAAAGTAAATCTTTTGTCCTTCAAAATGCAATCCATATTCGAACTTTAAACAATTTAGAGATAATAGAAATATACAAGGTTTTTATATACTAGTTTGTTTTGTTTTATAAAGAAAAATACATATTCATTAGTAAAAAATGGAGACTGTCATTAAACTAAAACGTGCCTTAGTATTTATTTAACGGAACCTGTAATGTGCGCGTGCATAATAAAACCTCCGTTATATAAATATATTCAACGTAATATTAGTGTCATCAGCGGATGTTGTAGTCTACTCATGATTTCTTTACCTTATATTATAACTTGATTTATGACAAAAAAAACTTATTGAATCGC